TCCAGAAGGAACTCCACCGAAGGACCCAGTTCCAGATTCCGCATGGCGCCGCCGCACCAATTTCGGCACACTCCTCACACGTTTTGCCCCAATGGCTGCGTTCGCATGGCTGCGCCGCACCCATGCCGGCACAACCCCTCGCACGTTCCGTGGCCTCACAAGGAGCTCTACGGAAGGCCCCAATGGCTGCGTTCGCATGGCGGCACCGCAACCCATGTCGACACATCCCTCACACGGTTCGTGACCCCATAAAGAGCACCGCCGAAGGCCCCACTGGCTACGTTCGCATGGCGTCGCCGCGCCCGATTCGCCGCACCGAACGGGCTCCACCGGAAAGGATACTCACGACCGCGCTAATTACTCAGAATTGCATCTTCACCAATGTAATTTCGCATTATGGTTTGTCTTAGATTTCGGCCCCTGGGGGCCGAAATCGAAGGCCCAAGAACCACCCAAATTGATCCGGGGTAAAAAACCACTCACGGGAAAGTGGTCGGGACCTCTGCGGCCGCGGATTGAAATCATCCTTCCGAAGGGCCCAACCACATGCAGCTGCAAGTATCGCGAAACAGGAGAAAACGAAGAAGGATGGCCACGAAGCATGTGAGGGGTGTGCCGAAATATTTGCGGCGGCGCCATGCGAACCCTCCCACTGGGATTGGGTGGGGCTCCCTGTGGGGCCACGAAACGCCGGAGGGGTGTGCCGAAATGGGTGCGGCTACGCCATGCGCACCCTCCCCACGGGGCCTTCAATGAATTTCCCTATGCACTGGTGCTACGAAGCGTGCGAGGGGTGCGCCGAAATTGGTGCGGCGACGCAACGCGAGCCATCCCACTGGGGCCTTCGCTGAAACTCCATGTGGGGCCACGAAGCGTGTGGGGGGTGTGCCGAAATGGGCCGAAATGGGCGCGGTGGCGCCATGCAAACCCTTCCACTGGGTCCTTAGCTGGAGCTCCTTGTGGGGCCACGAACCAATTTGGCGCGGCATGCAAACAATCCCACTGAGGCCTTCGGTGGAGCTCCCTGTGGGGCCACGAAACGCGGGAGGGGTGTGCCGAAATGGGTGCGGTGCCATGCGAACCCTCCCACTGAGGCCTTCGCTGGAGCTCCTTCTGGGGCCACGACGTGTGTGAGAGGTGTGCCGCCATGGGCGCGTCGGCGCCATGCGAAACCATCCACTGGGGCTTTCGCTGGAGCTCCCTGTGGTGCCACGAAACTTGGGAGGATGCGACGCCATGCAAACAATCCCACTGAGGCCTTCGCTGGAACACCCCGTGAGGGCACGAAATGTGTGAGGTGTACGCCGAAACGGGCGCGGCGAAGCCATGCGAACCCTCCCACTGGGGCTTCCGCTGAACTCCCTATGGGGCCGCAAACCGTGTGAGGGGTGTTCCGAAGTGGGCGCGGCGACGCCATGCGAACCCTCCCACTGGGTCCTTCGGCGGAGCACCCCATCCACAAAACGTGTGAGGGGTGTGCCGCAATGGGTGTGGTGGCGCCGTACGACCACTGCCAGTGCGGCCTTCGCTGGAGTTCCACGTGGGGCCACGAAACGTGTCAGGGGTGCGCCGATAATGGTGCGGCGACGCAATGCGAGCCCTCCCACTGGGCCCTTGGCTGAAACTCCACATGGAGCCATGGAACAGGTATTGGGTGTGCCCACAATGGGCGCGGAGGCACCATGCGAACCCGTCAACTGGGGGCCTTAGGTGGAAAACCCTGTGGGATCGCGAAGCGTGAGAGGGGTGCGCCGAGATGGGCACGGCGAAGCCATGCGAACCCTCCCATTGAGGCCTTCGGTGGAGCTCCCTGTAGGGCCACGAAACTTGGGAGAGGTGTGCCAATATGAGTGCGGTGCCGTGCGAACCCTCACACTAAGGCCTTCGCTGGAGCTCCCTATGGGGCCACGAAGCGTGTGAGGGGTGTGCCGCAATGGGTGCGGTGGCGCCATACGAACCCTGCCAGTGCGCCATTCGCTGGAGTTCCACTTGGGGCCACGAAACGTGTCAGGGGTGCGCCAAAATGGGCGCGGCGGCGCCATGCGAACCCTCCCAGTGGGGCCTTCGCTGGAGGTTCCTGTGGGGCAGCAGGTGTCCTGCTGCATGGGTAGTGCCTCCAAAGCGGTCTGGGATGCCCAGCAGAGGTAAGGATGGTAGGAGCGATGCTCCCAGCCGGCCTGACATGGCCGCCGCGGCATGGGAACATGTGTTACATCATACAACATGTGTTCCCATCCCACTCCTTCGCCCCAACCACGCCTGCAAGACGTCCGAGATACACCAAGCAAGAAAAGCACGAGCGAAGCTCCAAGAGAGCCCAGTACGGCCGCAGCGCCAAGGAAGCATTTTTGCTAGTCATTCAGGACCTGCTGCCGCCCCTTTCTGTGACCCCGCCAACCCTCCGATCAGTCTGAGGCACTCCTGGGAAAGCAAGGGTGGCAGAAAAGCCAGCGCGGCCAAACGAATCCGCCGCGGAAGCAGCACATCGGTTGTCTGCTTC